GTTGCAAGAATATGATTTTTTGGGGGACAAAGGGTGGAATGTCATGGATTGAATTATGTCCCCCCAAAAATGTGTGTATCAGTTTGGCTGGGCCTTGATTCCCGGTATTGTGTGATTTTCCTGTGTGTTGTAAATCCTGCCTCTATGATGTTAATGAGGGAGGATGCGCAGCAGTTGTGTTAGGGAGGCAGGACTCAATCTACAAGATTGGATTGTGTCCTGAGGCAATCTCTTGAGATATGAAGAGAAGTGAGCAGAGAGAAGAGGGGGACCTCCTACCATCAAGAAAGCAGTTCTGGGAGCAGAGTGCGTCCTTTGGACAGGGGTCCCTGTGCTGAGAAGCTCCTAGTCCTGGGGAGCACTGATGAGAAGGCAGAGAGAGAGAAAGCCTTCCCTTGAGGCTGACACCCTGAATTTGGACTTTTAGCCTATTTTACTGTAAGGAAATAAACTTCTCTTTGTTAAAACCATCCATATGTGGTACTTCTGCTACAGCAGCACTAGATAACTAAGACACCTGGATAACTAGAATACTATTTCTTCCCGGTATTGTGTGAATAAAATGATTATTTCTTCTGAATGTGTTGTTACCATACGTTCCCATGCTTAAAAACAGATGAAACAGAGATATCTAGAAAGCATACTTTCAAACAATGTTACATGTTTTACAATAAACCGGGGGAAATGTAATTTGTAACCCTTCTGATGTCTTTATATCTTATACGCCTTAGCCCAAAGGATTATATTTTTAGTAATATAAAGTCAGCCACAACTATTATATGTCTATGTAATTTGTGTAAAGTCTGTGTCATTAGATAAACTTTCCAAAATGATGGCTGACTCTATATACATTCTTTTATGTGGCAATTTAGATGGAACTAAAGATCAGCTTCACTGCATTTTTTGTGTTCCATTTTTACTTAACTAAATAAGGTTAAATGGACAATATTAACTTGGAGGTTTGTGTACTTAAGGTAGTAACTATCAACATAACTTTTTCAAGTTGATTTAATATAAGGCTCTGCTTCTTTTCTCATGCTTACTGTTATTCATCCAAAAGCTTGTTACTTTGAACTGAAGTAACACAGAGCTTTATTCTAAAGTTGAATAAAAGCAAATATTTTTTAAACAGGCTTTTCATCCTTTGAATATTTTTTTTCTGAACTGAAAACATGCAACTTTTGCATTTTAAAAACAAAGATAAAAAGAACAAGGTGGAAAGAAGATGGATTTCAATTTGAGTTGTCTCTATGCAGCCCCCACTGCAACCTCTCCAAAGCCAGACTATGAAGACACAAAATCATAAGAGCTAAAACGTCACCTGCCTTCTGCCCTCCAACTTTCTAACTCCAGATTCAGGAACTTACAGCAGAAAGGGGAATATGGTGTCTGTTTGTCTGTTTGTGTATACGCGTCTTTGGGTAGGAGGTAGTGGGGAAAGGAGAACTTAAGTGATGGATGACACTAGCAGGAGTATGTTTTGCATTTTGGAAGATTTAATTTGTTTTAGAAAAGCTCTATAGATCAAAGCTATAATGGGACAATGGATGGAAAAACATGTAAGCTAGAGTTTAAGCTTATCACATAGCCAATCAGTTCACAATATGAGAGAAACAACAGTGGTTGTAGGTGAATATACTATTTATTAGAGAAAGGATAAAAGCCTCCATAAAAGCCTCCTAGGGACTAGGAATAAGAATTGAAGCACACAAACTTGCCGTTGAGCAATAGATCTGAGAAGGAAATTCAATATTCATAAATGGTGAGAGAAAACAGAGGAAAGACTACCTAAACACAATGTAAAGACAAACCTTGATTGTGATGAGGTTTACTTTGTATAAAGATTTTTTAAAAATCCAACATGGGGCTTATAATAATGATAAACATAAGGAGGAGGACCAGAAGGAGGAGAAGAAAGAGGAAAACTCTTGTAGAAAACAAAAAAAGGAAAAGGAACAGCTTTCATAATACTCAAAGAAACAGCACACTCTTAAAAATAATCTAATGCAGGATCCAGAAAAAAAATTTTCAATAAACGGTTGAACATTCTAATGCTACTATTGAGTAGTTCCTATGTATTAGAATTGTTCTAAACTCATAACATGTATTGGCTCATTTAATCCTCACAATAATCCCATGAGATATTATTATCTCTTTTTTAGAAATGAGGACTTGCCCAAGATCATAAAACTACTAAGAATTCAAAAGACATAACTATGATGAGACAGGAGGAGAAATGTATTCACTCATTCCTTGAAAGAATATTTTGTAAGTGCTTACTAGGGGACAGATAGTATTTCCAGCCACTTGGGATATATTAGTAGGGAAAATTTTGCCTTCAAAGAGAGCTTACATTCTAGCAGGAAGTTAATTATGTAGTATGAGAGAAGATGATGAGGTCTGTGGGGAAAAAAGAATAGAGCAGGATGTTGAAATTGGAAAGTGCTTGGTGGCGGAACAGAAATAAATACAGTTGGATCTGAGGGTTTTTTTTTTTTTTTCCCCAGTGATTCTGAGAATCCTTGCTTATAATAGAATAATTTAACCCAGTCACGTGTATTTTGTGAATTGATACGTTTTCCTCTGCCATTAGATACTTCTGTTTTTGATGCTTTTTTATTTATCTCTTGCTAAGCAGCTAATTTATTGCTGTTTATCTGTCTAGTGTTTTTAGAAATATATTTTATACTACTGGTGATTACTTTTAAATGTAACATATTTCTCAACCAACCTCAAGCATAGAAAATAAGCTCCATGAAGGCAGGGTCTTATCCATATCTTCTCTATCACTGGACCTAACGCAATTCCTAGCATATATAGTAGGTATATTAAAATATGTTTGTTCCATAAATGAATAAATAAATACAGATATTAACTACACGATCACAATTCTGCCCTGAGGCCAGAGATAAATAGATTCTGGAAGAGGAAACAAAGATTAGAAAAAGAATGCATAGATAAGTGGGAAAGGTTAGAGGAGACAGCCTCTATCCCAATCCTGTGTGATCTTAAAAAATTTACACATCCTTTGTGCATCTCTATTGTTTCATTTGAAAAATGATGGGAATGTATTAGAACAGTGGTTTATTATCTTTTTTTTTTGGATAATAGATATTTTTGAGAAACCCATAAAGGCTATCAATCTTCTCCACAGAAAGATCATATATGTACATTAAGAAAAATAATCAGTTGACATATTTAATGAGATAATAAAAGTTCTTTAATATTTATTTGGCAATATGATATGAAAACATCAATGAAACATTTTCTAATATTCAAGGGTAATAGATTAATTTACACAAAATAAACTCTTCGTACTTTATAATAGAGAAAGCCCAAAACCCCCAAACTAGATAAAAGCATTTGTTCAAAGAAAGCAAGAAAACACTTCTAGGTGCTCTAAAATGTTTTGAAATATAAAATTCCAATATCTTCTTTTAGGTTCTTGTAACATATTTATTTCAAATAGGGATGAAGTTGTTTAAGTTTAGCTTTTCTTGACAAACCAATTCTGATTGGTCGACTGCATGTCTTAAGCGGAAGTACCCTTAAAATTCCATGTGAAAAATGGCTACCTAAAAATATAAGATGATACATGAGAGAGTAAAAATTACCATTAGTTTCTATGCTTAAAAACATTAACAAACTTCTAATCATGACATTAGCAACATTTACTGAATATTTACTATGTGCCATGCACCCTGCAAGTGCTTTAAACGCATTATTTTACTTAATCCTGTGCCCATTTTTAAAAATGTGAAAACCTAAGCAGAGAAAAGTTAACTAACTTGCCCAATATAAAATAACAACTGAATAAAATCAGCAATCCAGTCAGACAGTCTGACTTAACAACAGACCAAAAAAAAAACTATATTGTTTTTAAAGCAAACCTTTAAAAACCACGTCATTTGTCTGTTAGAAGCTAAACAATGCCAGGTTGTTCATGGTTATGTTTGGCTTCTAACAGAAATTATTATCAATAATATAGCCCAACTGTATGTCCTCTGTATGCATCAATAAAGGGGTCTGATTTTGAAGTTTTTATTTAACATTATACTACATTATTTTCAAAGAGGTACAAAACATTTCATGGAGATGCATCTGTTCTTAAATCAGTTAACCAGAAGGATGAGATCAACTGCCCTTGATAATAAAATACAGCAATACCTCTGACTTCCAAAGATTTTTTTTTTAACTATGGGGACATATGTAAAGTTAAAATTTTAATCAGGTTTTAGTGAAGTAATATGATATCATACTAAAAACACTGTAATCAACCCAAAGTTAAATCTGACAAAAGATAAACAGCATGATTTCTACTCAGTTGAATCAAACAGAATCTGTGTGTATATCTATGTAAATAATAATGAACAAAATACAAAGTTAAAATTACATGTAAATTGGGAGGAAACAATGGCAACATAGCTATAAATCAGTCTATGATACTTTATTCAGCATTAAAATTTAACTAATTACAAAAAGTAAGAAAAATGATAGTAGCATTTTATTGCTAGAAATGAAAAAAAATTAAACAAAAAGAAATTTTTGAAATAGAATTGTTAGACTATATCTGATACATACTAGATTCGGTTATAGAAAATTTCAGCAATTTATGCTAAGTATATTTCTTTATTTTAGGACTATTATTTCAGAACAAAGCCATGATTAATAATCTTTTTGATTACTTTTACAAAGTCTAGACTTCCTCTTTCATATTCCAACATAATAGATACTTCCAGTAATTTTGGGATGAGTGGGAGATCACTGAACCAGTTTGTGTCAACAGCAGACAATTTGCAAACCATATGCCCTTAAATTGCTGCTAAGTTGTGGTTGCAAGGATATGCTTCTTTATCTCCTTGAATTTCCCACCTTTTTTTATTAAATTATGATCCCTTTTATTATTGCTATACCAAAAAAAAAAAAAATCCTGGATTAATTTATTGCTTTGTGATCCTAAATTTTCAAGCATAATACCAGAAATTGTTTATTTTAAAAGTCAATGTTTATTAAAAAAAAAAGTCTAGAAATTAACAGTCTTTTACAAATAATACTTCGATTGTTTTCTAAATCCTTGCAACTTAAAGTGTGGCCGATAGACTAGAAGCATCTACATCTACTGGGAGCTTGTGAGAAATGTAGAATTTCAGGGCCCATCCCACAACTGAATCAGAAACTTTTAACAAGATCCCCAGGTGATTTGTATAGATATTAAAGTTAGGGAAGCACTGGTCTAAAAGATATGTAAAGGGCCTGGCTCACTGGCTGAGAGACATATAATACATATTCAAAATAATTTTCAAATACTTGCTTTTTGTACACCACAGAAAGAAGAGAGGGAGTGGGAGAAACAAAGAAAAGATGAGGGAGAGAGAGAGAGAAAAAGAGAGTATGAGAATGCATTGGAGATTTTAGTGGTAGAAACTCTAAATAAGAGAAGAAACATCATGATAACAAGTGGGTAGGCACAAAAACATTTCAGGACACTTAGGATCTTTCTGATGCCTTTAAAATCACACTGTAGAAGCAGGCACACACTCTGCCTAGGCAGAGATTTAGTCTATTCTTATTAACCTCACTTCCCAGTTTCTCCCAACTATGGATTTTAACAAACTTAGAAAGATCATTTCATTTATATACACTTTGAAAGTGAATCCAAATCTACTATGCTAACATACTATTAAATAATTCTGGCTGAACTCATACATTATTTCTCATATTTAATGACAAGGCACTTTACCTTGTGAAGACAGAATCATTTTATTACAGGTTTAGATATTTCAAATAAATGTAACATTTCTTTTCCAATCTGTGCCCATGTTATATTGAATTTTCCTCATATATACATGTCACTACCACAAATATAATCTTGATGACAATATGAGTATGTGCTCCCTAATCTCCCTAATCTTCATCTATTCCATATCAAATTATGTTCAAAAATGCCAATTTCTTCCTTTCTTTCTGTCCTAGAAGAAGCGACCCCCATCTTTTCCAGACTAATTCCTGCCACACCTGCTTCTGTCTCATGAAATACTGCTCCCTGTATTATTTCCTTTATTTGGGAGAGAAGAGACTATCTGAGGGCCTTTAATCTTTCAAGGACATGGATTGGTTTGTAAGATCATTTTACTGTAGTATAAGAAAGAAAGAAAAGATGCAGTTCTAAAACAACTGAATAAAGGGACCAGGGACAGTATTTTGCTCATAATGAGAAGCTCTGGAAAAACGTTTTGAGAAATGATGCATACCTGAAAACATTTTGGTAGATATATTTCACCTACATCATTATTCGTCATTGATCTAGCCTTGTGTAATACCAGAAATTTTTTATCAGGCTATAACTTTTCCTAGGTTCCCTAATTTCAATCCTACTCCTACCGCACCCCAATTAGTATTACAAATTAGAATAGTGTTTAGTCTATATTGTTTTACTCTGATATTGTAGACCTCTTAGGCAAAAAATAGGGTTAGTTGTTTAACTTTAGTTTATTTCTTTAAATAGTAATCAAAAGTTTAAATGCCATACTTATAAATTATGTTATTATTCCTAAATGATACTATCTTTTAAAAAAATTTACAAAATAAAATGTCCATATAAGAAATCCTTTAACAATAAAAAGTATAAAGAACACTGATAATAAATCTATAATGGAAGTGACATCTCATCAGTGGAAATTCAACTTAGACAAATGCCACTTTTGTTTTGCCAATTAACATTAAGTACATTGGACACCTATCTTATCATGTATGACACCTAATTTAAAACATACTTTTAATTAAAATACATCACTGCAAATATTTGAACACAGTTTCGCAGAGTGCATTTCCCAGTAATCTAAATACTTCAGTAAAATTTATAAATGTTTACAAAAGTATTAAACTCTTGTGCTCATTTTCTAACATCCTAAGTATCTATGTTTTCCTCATGCTGAAAATAATCCGATAGTCATCTTAGAAAATATTCTAGAAAATAACTTTAAAAACTTACCTTTTTCTTCTTTAAATTCATCAGAAAACAAAGCAGGCCTTTGAGGTAAGGATTTTTCACATTCTGCAAATAAAGATCAATATAGTAATGTAAAAGCAAACCAAACCCACAGTCTTCAAGTCGATTCTGACTCATAGCAACCCTATGGGACAGAGTAGAAATGCCCCATAGGGTTTCCAAACCTGTAATATTTACAGAAGCAGACTTTCATGTCTTTCTCCTGAGCATCTGCTGGTGGGTTTGAACCACCAACTTTTCAGTTAGCAACTGAGCACTTAACGACTGCACCATCAGGACTCCTAGTATAGCAATAAGTAACTTTTATATAAAAATTTTGATACTATAAACAAATTATTTTCTCAGAAATATTTTCTTCAGTTGGCTCCTAATTAATGCTTAGAGAAATGAAACAGGATTCATCAAATCTCCTTTTAAAAATTTAATAATGTGTTGCCTTCAACTTCAATGTATTATTTAGTGTTTGAACAGCCCTTTATGGGAAAATCATGTGCATCAATAAGCACTGCCTTACACTTTGTCTTCTTTTTTGCCAAAATTATATATTTGGCCTACAGAGAAAAAGCAGCAATTTTCTTCTATCATGAGAAAGAACATTTTAAAACTAATGTCATACCTTCCTCAGAAGTAAAATAGAGTAATTCTTCTTCCAATGTTCTTGGACAATACTTATTAGGAACTTCCTGCTCTCCTTTATTGGGTTCCGTTTTCCACTTAAATGAACTTTGGTGTCTTTTATGCATATTAGGACCTGCTCGAGTATCACAGAGCAAAGAAGGTGCACACATTTTGTTGACTGTAACCACTTTCAAATCTTTTTTTCTCTCCTTTTCTACCTCCTCAGCATCATTACTTTCTCCAAAGTAATTTTCTTGCCGGTTGTTTGTTTCCACAGTGCTAAAAATTTCTTTTTCCTTACTAATTTCATGAAACATATGAAGTTCTTCAAGTACTAAATCAAATTTACTCCTCATTTCAAAATCTTTTCCTATTGTCAAAGCTTCTGTTGATAAACACTTAGTAGTTAAGTCCTGAAAACATTCATTGTTCCCTGCACTCGAATCAGTTTCAAACTGATGATTAACACATTCTGTAGAGTCATTCTTTGGATGAAAATGCTTTGAATTAGCTAACTCACTTTCTTGCAAAATGCTCTCATATTCATTTCTGTCAGCAACGTCGTTTTGATTAACACATATTTGGTTTGTCTGCATAGCATCTTCCACGTTTACTTTTTTGCTAATTAATGAAACTGATTGTACAGAAAACATGCTATCCATTAAAGAAAAACTGTCTTTCTCTTCCTTTTCTCTCTTAGTATCTTTATGAACTTGGCAACCATTTGTTAAACTTTGTGCTGTGGTTTTTATTTCTTCCTTCAAAATTATTTCATATTTTTTTTCTTTAATTTCACTTAGCAAGTTCCCAAAATTTGGCACCTGAGTTATAGTCATGGTATTGGTTTGTTGAGCGCACGTTATGTGACTTGCCAGGGTGGCCTGTTGCTTGACATTAAAGAAATCCTCAGATATGCACTCAGCATTAAAACTAGTGATCTTATTATGCTTCTGATTTATTTCAGTATCCAAATCTTGGTTGTGCATACTTATTTCATAAAATTTTTCATTAGTGCATCTTTCATGGTTTTGAATAAACCGAGGACTAGACTTAGCATTTTTTTTAACAGTAATAGGACTAAAGTGGGCCCAATCTTCCACATTCATGACTCCTTCAGGACAATTATTCTTGTAACCAATTTCTTTTGTCAAAAAAATGTCAGTCATATCATTAAATTCCACAAAAAGAGGAATTTTTTCATAAGTCTCAAAGATTGGAAAACACATATTTTTAGCAGTCTTATTGAAGGAATTGATGGTTTCTTTCTTAGATCCTTCAAAAACTTCTTCAGTTTGAAATAGTTTTCTTTTCTTTAACATAGGTCTCATATTATCTTCTAACATCCATGGAAAAGTTAAAATCTTTATTAGATATGCAGAATGATTTTCCACTATGATCATTTTTGGATAATTCAAATACACTATCCATTTGAAAGTGTATTCCTCTTCTAATTCAACCTCATTTTCAACTGTTGTTAAAGAGTCAAGGTTATTGTTGGTTTTCAATATAATATTTAGAGATTCTGAAACACTGGTCTGTATATACATGCTTAAAACATTCTTTCTATAGACATTCATATTCCTGGTTGTTAGCTTTTGAATCTCAATTTTCTTTTTGCACTTCAAAGTCTCATACCAGGCTAAAATACTATTATCTTTTTGACTTCCTGAAATATTTTTATGGAAACAAAAAATTTCTGTACTGAAAGTCTCAAAAATGTCACTTATATGTAAGCCTCTTTGTGTAGTATAGTATCTCAACTGCAGCATATTATCATTTTCTTCTTTGTCATTTAAGCAAACAATTTTTATTAAAGCTTTTTGACTACCCAGTGTTCCTATCATAAAAGGTTTTGATTGTTCTTTACTTGCATTCATGGCTCTTGTATTGTGATAATCTTCCTTGTTTAAAAGGTCTATTTCTAATAACTGTTGCAAATTTAATTTTGCTTCATTTATTTTCATATTTTCACATTTAGTCCTGTAATTATTCATAGTCCAACAACTTTCCCTGTTTCTTTTCAAAATACATCTAGTGTTACAGTCCCAGCTTTGAGATTTTTCCAACTTGGTAGATATGTAACTGTTCAGGTTTATTTCTGCTTCTTTTCCTTTTACATTTTCAAGTATTATAGTAATATTCTTTTCATAGACTCTGACGTCACACTTGGTACTACTGTAGTTATAGTAGTTCAAAGTGATCAAGTCTTTTTTTCTCTTGCAAGTAATTTGGTTGCTGAATGATTGGTGGTTACTTTCATAATACTCAGAAAAAGTATTTTCTGCAGCCACAATTTTATTATCATTCTGTAACTTTTGCTTCTTAACATCAGGTCTATTTTGAGAACAGTAGATATTTGTGAAATCCCTAACATATGTCTCATTTTTGTCAGTTTTTTTCTTTGCTATTTCCTTTAAATAGACAGAGGACATTTTGCTATTTAAATAGGTTGGAAACTCAGGGATACTTATTGTGATATTATCTCTAAAATAGCAGGGTCTGGCAATTTCCAAGCTGGGCTGGTTTGGAGATTTTGATATTTTTAGTATAGATGCTAAAATGTTAATATCTTTTTTATTTGTTGTCATAGCACTGTCAGCGTCACATCTGTTCTTCATTTCATGAAGTGTTGCTTTAGCTTCTTTGTAAAAGGTAACATCTACAAATGGATTTTCTGCCTGTTTTATATACCTATTGTCTTTCTGACTATTGTTTCTCCCTTGGACTAAATGTTTTCCATTCATGTTCTTAACTCCATGTATACCATGTACGGTGGTGTTGGACAGAGGTTGACTAATCTCTGCTTTAGATCTATCGTTGTGCACGCTGAAAACCTCTCTTCCATTCCGTCCTAGTTCAAAAGACCTTCCTGAAGCCCTCAAATCAGAATCAAAACTTTGTGAGGGGAGAGACTGCAAGTAGTTATTCATCTGAAATTTGCTATTTTGGCATCCCAGATGACATATCTTCCTCCCACTGACTGATTTCTCCACACTGGAATCTGTGGAGTAATCAAAATTTCCATTAATTGAAACAAGGAGTGCCTTGAAGGGTCTGGGCGGCAACTCCCAGATTTTTTCTACCTCAGACAAACGAGGCACCAAAGGCAGCCGCCACCTCGCC